GGAGGTGAGGATACAGGCTGCCTGCTGTGGGCTTAGGACTCCCCACCCTGCTGTCCTCCCCATAGGGGCCTCCACAGCCCAGCAGACAGGACCTGGCATGGCAGGGCAGAGTGATTTGTGGAGGCTCAGTGCTGCTGCCAGGAGCCCTGTGCTGCCATAGCGAGGTGCTTCCTGCCCACCTGGCAGCAGGTCGGGGCACAGTTCTGTACCACCACCCCTGCTGCTGCCAGACAGGCAGGGAGTGCCACACCGTGGTGGTGCAGAGCTCCCAGGGGCAGCACTGAGCTTCCCTGCTGTACTGGGTCCTGCGCATTGGGCTGTGGAGGCCCCTGGGCGGAGGGCAGCAGGGCAGGGAGCCCCAAGCCCACACCAGGCAGCTTGCATCTTCCCCCACCCCACAGCCAAATCTGGGGGGGAGGCATATGCTCCCCCATCTTACCTCCAGGAGTCTGTGCAGCAGACCCTCAGCTCTGTCTCATTCCCTGCCTGGGCCCCAAACTTCAGGCTCCACTGACCACCCCGGCTGGATAGCAACCCCAGCCCTACCCAGCTCCCTTCCTCCCTCGCTATGGGGTCCTCAATCCCTCCCCCCTCCATCTACTTGCATGCAGGAACTGCACTCATGCATGTGGAAGCAAGGCAGCATGTGTGCCCCCTGCTTGATTGCCCTTCTGCTCCCCCCAGACCCTTTGCAGGCTGCAACTCTGTCAGCCTGCAAGGGGAAACTCTCCGTTTCCCATATTTTTCTCCTTAAAATGAGAAGATCTGGGTTTTAGCACATTTTTCTATGGCGAATAGAAAACCTGGATCCCCTGGTAATGACCGTAGGAAGTAACCTTTATGGTACATATGGGTTCTAACCTGAAGTTGATCTTTCTCTGGGGTAAAGGCTTAAATTCAAATTCTTTGGGAAATAGCTTGCGAAGCAGCAGGAAGGTACTGTGCATAGTGCAGAGATCAACACTGAAGACTCATTTATAGGTCAGCACTGGTATCCCATTAGCAGCATCTATGGGAATGAAATGTGTAGGGATTCTTTAGACTTTGGGGTTTGATACATTTTTCTGTTCTAGGGACACGTCTGGCCAGGGACGATTCTGCACCATTTTCAGATCCTACTCCAGAGGTGCTCAGGTAAGTGCTGTGAACTGAATCTTTTGGGACTCTACCTAATTATCAGATCTTCTGAAGGATGGGAAACAAACTAATACTAGGAGATACCACCCAGTATCTTCCTGTTTTCTTTTCTAATGTCCTGTCTTTGCCTTTTTTGACCAACCAACAGAGGGAAGAGCAGGTATTTACTTATGTAGTGCAACACAACAGAACGCTATTTTACTGGGTTGTAAATTTTATATATGGGCTGAAGAAGTAGCATTATCTGGAACACAGGTCAGTTTTTTGCCTTGTTTCTGGAATGAGCTTATGGTAAAGTTCAGGTTCTTGGTTGACAGCTAATGTGATGAGCCTCAACTTTCCCAGGAAACATCAGCTTTCCCAGGAAAATTCTTACAGCTCATACCACCCACAAACCAGTTACACAAAATGGGCCCATCTGGGTATATGTGAGCTGGTTTTAAAACAGGGGGGTTATTTAGATCTGAAAATGGATTCTTTAACCCATGGAGTAAGAAGTCAGAATTTGAGGTGCTGCTTTAGGTCCAAGGAGAAAACATAATGTAACTTTTGCAACTTGCTTATGTTGGAGAGAGCTCCTAGCTCCAACTCTTCCCACCTTTCTGAATAGTCTTCACTAGGTATTACAGCAAAATGGCATCACTAATGTAATCTCCGATAAAGTAACCGAACTTCAACAGCATAGTGTCCCCCTAAGCCAAGTAAACTAGCCTGCTTGCTTGTGACACTGGCATGGGGAAATGAGCTTTGTCTTCATAGCGTTTCCTTTCCTTCAGATTTTTTTTTTCTCGCTAAGAACTAGCTTCTGTCCAAGACTTGTTGACTGGACCAGAGGACCCAGAAATGATGTAGGGCTTTAGTCTGTGAAGTTCTGCTATATACAGCTTGCCTATCCAGCTGGGAAAATCATCATGTTTTCTGTCCTCAGGACTTCTTGTATATTCTTGTGGGCTCTAGATAGAGATCACTTGCCACAATGGTATACTGCCTATGCCTCCTCCAGTGTTGTATTTAGTCTTGTACACACACACCTCTGGTGTTTTGTGGGCAGTTCTCTAGAACACCCCTTTGGCTGGGGCCAGTGTCATGGTTCTCTTGTCCACATGAGCAACAGAAGCTTTAAATGCTGTGTGTATCATACCACGCATCTGAGACTTGACTGTCAGCAAAGCATGTGGTGTCAAGATAATTTGGTTCCATACAGGTTATGAACAGAGCTAGCAGAGTCGTGCCACTTGGTATTGTGATGAGCAAGTGAAGAATTGATCTAGGTTAACCTTTTTTTTTTTTTTTTTTTTTTTTTTT